TGCCGGTCCCGGTCCGGTACGGGCATGACACTGAGGGTTGCGATCCATTGCCAGACACGGAAAAAAGACAAAAGACAAAAAAAAAAATAAGGTTGGGGATATCAAGTTAAGTAAGATACGGTACGTAGACACTGAATTAAAGGAAATGTGCGAGTTATTGAATTATTAGAATAGCTAGTTACTTCTAAGAACTCTTTTGGTACTTCTCTAAAAAAGTTAATATGAAAGAACATTTAATTTGAAGTTGCTCTGAAGATACCAAGAATGTGTTACTTATCAATTATTGTTTAATTTAGAATGAAAATCATGCAAATGAATTGTAGCTTAATCTTTGAAAATAAATTCTCTTTGCTTATTTCCATGTTTCATATTAGTTGTTGTAGACTCGTCACTCATTCATTCAACAAACATTTTCTGAATCACTTAAAATGCATAATGCATTCTACTTGGCACTGGAGTATATTCAAGTATACAGAAGATAGAGGTCCTCACTAACAGTGCTTACGGTGAGAGAAGATATGATAAAATTTGAGTCTGAAGCTGCGGGAAAAGTTACAAGATGTTCTCATGTACGCATAAGCACAAGTACATAGCTTCTCTGTACCTGATGTCCACACGGAATATTTTATTAATGAACAAAGGAGTAAAATGTACTGATAAAATACTTACTCCCTAAGTATTTCCTAAATCCTGGCCTCATTTCTTATTAGTCATCTAGGAATTTTAGTATTGGGTAGAAGGGGACCGTGACCTTTTGGGGTAGTGGAGAGAGGGCTAAATGCCACATGAGAAGTGCTGGGAGTGAGAACTATAGGAAGGGTGGCATTGGGCCGGGGAAACTTGTCCAAAAGAAGCACTGGTACACTTTGTCAAAGCTGGTGGGGGCACTGCTCAGACCTATGCTGTGTTTGGGGGCTGGATGCCATCAGCAGTGCTCTTTCTCACTGCCTGATTATCACAGCAGGGAGGATGGAGACAGAAGGAAAAGAGGAGGAAACCGTTTCTAGACTGGAACGGGGCCAACCGCAGACAGGACAGTTATATGGACACATCGTAGCTACTTCAATAACAAAACAAAAAACCCTGAGACAATTGGCTTAGTGTGGACTAGAAGAACAAAAATGAAACTGAAACTTCCACTGGAGTAATATCCTTAAGTGGAATGTGAGAAATGCTCTAGAAAGTTTATTGTCATTTCTGTTTACAAAAGGAAGCAGGTCCTCTCTATTCATTGACTGCATTACAATAAGAATATTTATAGCGGTCATTCTCTAATCCAATAACAAGGAAGAAGTCTTACACTACCTATAGTACTCACTGTAAGGGAAGACTCTCAAAGATATATTTAAACGTTCATGTCATGTTTCTATGGGATGAACTGTGTTCCCCTGAAATCTATATGTTGAAGCCCTACTCGCCAGTGTGATGCTATTTGGAAATGGAGCCTTTGGGAGCTATTCAAGTTTAGATGAGGTCATGAGGGTGAGAACCCTCATGATGGAACCAGTGTCCTTACAAGAGACCCCAGAAAGTTTTCTCTCTCTCTCTCTCTCTCTCTCTCTCTCTCTCTCTCTCTCTGCGATGTGAGGACATGGTAATGTGAGGACATAGTGATGGCCACCTGCGAGCCAGGAAGAGGGCCCTCACCAGAAACTGGACTGACCGGCACCTTGATCTTGGACTTCTCAGCATTCAGAACTGTGAGAAATAAATTTCTGTTGTTTAAGCCACCCACCTATGGAATTTTGTTACGGCAGCCTGAGCTGACTAACACATACATAAAGGGTATCGAAAATAACTAAGTAATCTGTTTAAACTTCTTCATGAGACTTCTGCTAAATGATAATTACAGATACAATGTAGGCACTTAACTGGATATGAAATCACTTTTTATCTTTTGCTGTATTATCTATCCCCAGACAAAGAAAGTAAAAAGGCAATTATCCTTAAGCAATCACATATCTTAACATTCAGGAGCCACATATCAGTGTCATTTATTTTTAATACCACTAAAACTGATAGGGATGCCTGGTTAGGTCACTTGGTTAAAGTGTGGTGTTGGTAACACCAAGGGCGAGGGTTTGGTTGGATCCCCGCACTGGCCAGCCACTAAAAAATAAATAAGTAAAATAAAAATAAAAGTAATAAATCATACCTGGCATCCTTTTTGAAATTTCTCTGGTGTCATCCAGTCTTCAAGCATTCTCAGAATGGAAGCCCCCTACAATGGAAAAAAATGACAAATTAAACTAATAAAGGATATGTAAGGCACAAATATCAGTTATCATTATTGTTAGTAGTATTTCCTGAATATATTGTGATATTCTTTAAGATGATTATGCTAAATTATGGTTATAGCTTTATGATTTTAGGATAAAAATACCACTTGGCATACCCCTTGTATCTGTGCTTCTAAAATAACTAAAAAGTAAACAGAAATTGCTAAAATAATCATCATTTCATTGACTTGAGATTCAAATAATTATTGCAGTTCTCCAAGTAAACCAGCAGAGGGGGCTTTCCTAATGAAAGAGAAATATGAGTCAAAAAAATTGTGTTATCTGATGAAGAAAGTAGTTTTAGGGTAAAATTCTGGCAACTTACTAAAAATACTTCCATCCGGAAAAAAAAATAATATTTAGTAGAGGGAATTACATAGTTGAGGAATTATATGGTCATACAGTTTAATATAAGTAGATATATAATTTAGGCAAAAATTCCTTCTGTTCAAAAGTAGTTTATCTCATTTGGTTTTCGTTTGTCTGAAAAATCTGATGAACACCTCTGCTCTCTATTTTTTTTTACGTATTATAAGATTGGTACTAAAATTCACTACTTATAAAATTTTTATTAATTTTCAAGCAACTGATGAGAAAAACATTGCCTCCCCACTTAAGTTAGTAATTTTTACTATAATTTATTAAGCATTCTAAATTATTTTTGTACCTAGTAAGAAGGCTAAAGGCTTAACATTTATTTATGACCTAATATTTTAAACCCATGGAGTGTCTAGGACTCAAGGAGAAACTGATTCAATACATATAAACTACTCCCAGGTGAGTTATTAGAATAGACTATAAGTGGATTAAAAATTTCATTTTAACAGAAAGACAAAAATAATCACTGATAATGTAAAAGAAAAATGAGCAAAAGAAGTCTGAAAAGATGCCATGGGACTAATATGAGAAGGAAAACCAAACAGTATGATGCTATAAATTTCAAATACTAATATATAGAAATTTTTTTCATTCCAACCAATTTTATCTAGTATTCATTTTAATAATTATAATATCTTAGACTTATATAAAACTTTAGGTATCACTTAGGATAAAATGTATTAATTGCATTAGCTTTTGACCAACTTAATGTCATGGATAAACCATGAGAAGCTGAGGTGGAAAATGACTAAAACGAAATTTTAAATTATGTTATGTACAGGTATGAAATGTGCTGGAAAGAGAAACTATAGGGGATGTTGTGGGAGAAAAAAGGTAACATAAAACTTTGGATTATAGATTTTCAGCAACTTTTTGTAAAATTTCAGTGGATAAAAATATTTCATCTACAACATGCCAATAAAGTCATCTTTAAATCTCATCTGAAAATGGATAAAAGTATCCAACTGAGTTGGATTTAAATGTTTATTGGGAGCACTAAAGGACTCTACTAGAAAAGGTTCCCAATACAGGGTACTTCAAAAAGTTCATGGAAAAATAGAATTAAAAGATAATATGAATCTTTGCAGGAACTTTTTGAATATCTCTCGTCTATGGCTTTTCTTGTTGACTACAGAGCAGAAAAAGATTTATTTTCTTTATTAAAAGATCAAATAAAACAATTTTAAATTTGATAATTAAAGACTAAATGTTCAATTATCTGAATGAAAATAGTTATAAACAAAAACGAAAAGAGAAATTTTTTTAAATCTGATTTAAAATCCTGTGGCAATGAACAGTATTGATCAATTCCACTGAGAAGTATAAACCGTTGAATATTCAGCACTCAGAATAAGTTCTACAATGTTTTCCAAAGCTCATTGGCACAGTCTAACCATTTTTACCATCCTCAGGCATCTACTAAAAGAAAAGTCACTAAACAGAAAGATGTTCAAAACAATGTCGTATTTTCCCCACCTTGCTATAGGATATTCCATCAAAAACAGATGTTATTTCAGCAGGGGTGGTCACAGTGACAACAACTGGATGTGAAGACGTTAAAGAATCATCCTCGTGTACCGGCAATACATCTTCAAGTAATATCTGGTCGTGCTGAAAGGTCAGAATGAACCAAAGAAATATAGTGCTTTATACTGGTTTATGATTTAAAATACCATATATAACAAAAATTGAAGGAAAATAAATATAAATGACAAATTAATTAAAACAAATATTAAGGTTTTAAATTAATCACATTTTGCACTGGTTAATCCATACTGATTATACTCCCTTCTTTTATTTATAACTCCTTCAACTTCTTCTTCCCCTATACAACAGGCCGAGAAGACACAAGAATCCATGAATTCTGTTTCTGCTACTTCTGTGGGACTTTGGACATGTGCCAAACTTCTCAAGCCCCATTTCCATATCTGTGCCATGGCAATGATGGCATCACCTCACAGATTTGTTCTGAGAATTAAGTGAGGTAGCACGTCAACTTGACAGGTATTGATGTTCAGTGTTTATTTTACATCAACTTGTCAGGAGAATTTGGATGATTCATAATTAATCAAAGAAAACATTACCTTATTCTTTAGTTCTAATAATCACCTCTCATTTCAGTCTTAGGGTTTCTCAGCAAAACAGAGTGGTTGAGAGGTCTAGCAGTATAGTCAGACTTCCTTGGTTCCAATTTCTAGGTATGTAAGTTTATGCCAGTTCTCTCACCTGTTAAATAGAGGTGGTGATGGCATCTCCCTTTTGGAATTGTGCACAAGATTTAATGACAGAATTCATATTAAGCCCTTGGCATAGTATCTGGTACATAGTGAAGACCTAATGCGTTAGCTACTGCTGCTATTTTGATTCTTAATTTAAAAGATTCTGAAATCTAACTGTGTTAAACCACTACTAATTTAGAAAATCGAAAGCCTTAATGGTCCTACTTAATTAAAAATGTTTTCAAAAGAGGAACATGCTATATTACTTGACATTTTCCAATTTCATGGGTAACCATTTATAATAGACAAGGTACAGTGGTCAAGCAATGACTGCTAATCAAGATAATTTTGGCTTGGGCCGGGCCGGTGGCGCACTGGATAGTGCGCCACTTGGGAAGCACGGCGGCGCTCCCGTCCGAGGGTTCGGATCCCACATACAGACCGGTTCCCGCTCAATGGCTGAGCGAGGCGCGGGAGCAACGCCGAGGGTTGCGATCCCGTTGCCGGTCACCGGTCCGGTACGGGGACAACACTGAGGGTTGCGATCCGTTGCCGGACACGGAAAAAAGACAAAAAAAAAAAAAAAGATAATTTTGGCTTGGATTTTGATTTTGGTGCACCTAGGAGGCTTAGGGAAGTCAAAAGAATCCTGTTCTCGGCATCAGGAAATTTGACTGTAGTCTTGGTTTTGCTACCGATTGTCTGTGTGTGTTGGAAAGTTACGTTACCTTCCCGAGCTTCACATTTTTCAAAAGGTGAAATGAGGCTCCACTGTTGTAGAGTGACAAATGTGTTTTATTTATTTTGGGGTCCTCTCTAGTGTTTGCTGAATGAAGAATGAATGAAGAAAGAAAGAAAGGAATTATTGTGAATGTGTCAGACCATGTGGTTAAATTTCATTTAAGAACCATACACCAAATTCTTCCAGAATTTAATCAGTATTTTTAAAACTCTGAAATTGGAATGATAGACAATATTAAAATGTTACAATTTCTTCTGTTTGCTATAGGAAGGGCATCCGGTTACTTTAAGAAAGAAAATAAAGTACAAAATAATTTTCCATTTGTGTAATTTAGTTTCAATAAGTTATGAAATTATTCATTTTCAATGCAAATGAATGGTTCTCAACTGATTTTTTTTCCCCCTTGGGAACATTTAAGAGTCTCATGCTCTACCGACTGAGCTAGCCGGGCACCCCTCGGGAACATTTGAAAATATGTGGAGATAGTTTTGGTTTTCAATACTGGGGCCGTCGGGTTACTGACATTTAGTAGATTGAGGCCAGGGATCCTGCTAAATGTCTTGCAATGCACAGGACAGCCTCCCACAACAAAGAATTATCTGGCCCAAAATGTCAATAGTTCCTTGGTTGAAAAACTCTAATGTTGATTAAATTTTTTAAAAGCAATTGTTGCAAATTAGCGTTTTCATGTTTTAAAGTTAGGTTAGGGAACTGCAAAGGCTTCAAGCATTTAGCGTTTTTATTCTGTCCAGTAGAGGGCAGTATTCTACATAGTACACAAGCTCGTAATTCTCTGTTTCACACATCTATGTATTCATACATTCATAAATACTATCAGATAAGAAAACTCACTCTATCTAAACATAAGTAACAAAAATAAATAAACATAAATAGCAAACATACTTAGGTTTTCTAGAAAAAAACATCGGTAGTGTTCATAGAAGTTTCTGTTCTAGGCCCCTAAGGGGCACACTGTATGTTAATAGTCATCATATGTACATTTTTGGAGCTTTGAAGCTTACAAGATAAAGAATAATATTCTTATTTCTTAGAGGAGATCACTGACTCAGAGAGATTATGTAACTTTCTCGAGGTCACATTCTTTGTCATGCATCTAAGAAATGATGTGTCCAGGATTTGAATTTGAGTCTAACTACTAAGCTTATGTTCTTGTGTCTTCGCTGCACTATCTCAGCAACCTAAGATAAGCAGTTTATAAAATGAGACTTAGACATTTCTTAAAGGGTTAGCACTATAGATACTCTCTTGAACACAAAGTTGGCATTTTCTATGCTAGCTAATTTTTTTTCCTGCCTTGACATGAGTTTTTGAGTGACTCTGTCAAGGATATCTCCAGATTGTGATGGTCAGTTGGCCTCCAGAGACCAGGCAAAGGCTCTAAGGTACAGCCCAATGGAAACCAGCTGGCTACCCCCTATTCTCACAATAGAATTCCCAACTCACCCCTGCACTGGCCCCTGGCTCAGGACCAGTCATAGTCCAAAGGCTTCAATCTGCTTTGCATGAGGAAAATAGAGACTTGGATCTTATCTGTTTAGGGCTCACCATTTGCCAGTCTTTTTCTGCATGGTCTACTCCCAGAAACTCGAAGAAAGAAGCAAATCCTTCATTTAGCCACAAGTCATCCCACCAGTCCATGGTCACAATATTTCCAAACCACTGAAATTATAAGCAATAAAGAGATACTTAAGAACAGTCTCTTTATTTATTTATTTATTTATTTATTTATTTATTTATTTATTTATTTATTTATTTATTTATTTATTTATTTATTTATTTATTTATTTATTTATTTATTTATTTATTTATTTATTTATTTATTTATTTATTTATTTATTTATTTATTTATTTATTTATTTATTTATTTATTTATTTATTTATTTATTTATTTATTTATTTATTTATTTATTTATTTATTTATTTATTTATTTATTTATTTATTTATTTATTTATTTATTTATTTATTTATTTATTTATTTATTTATTTATTTATTTATTTATTTATTTATTTATTTATTTATTTATTTATTTATTTATTTATTTATTGACAGTTGGCCAGTACAGGGCTCCAAACCCATGACTTTGGTGTTATAAGACTGTATTCTAACCAACTGAGCTAACTGGCCTCCTCTTTTTTTTTTTTTTTTTTTTTTTTTTTTTTTTTTTTTTTTTTTTTTTTTTTTTTTAAAAAGGAAAGATCCAATAGGTCTTTTTTTTTTTTTTCCTTGACAGCTGGCCGTTATAGGGATCCAAACCCTTGACCTTGGTATTACCAACACCATGCTCTAACCAAGTGAGCCAGCCCTCAATAAAGAGATTGGTAAATTCTTGTGCTTATGGTAGAGGAGCTTAGAAAATTTTATAATGCTTACTTGTCCATGTAAATTTTATCACTAGAGACAGAAGTGGCAGGCACTATACTTAACATTTATTTCCTTCTTTATTTATCCTGATTTTTAAATGATATTAAATTCTCCTTAGTTTATTGCCTTGATTTAGGTATTACTAGGAATAGATAACATTAGTAGGAAGGCCTCCTGTGTATTTACAAAAAGCAAAACAACATATTGTAAAGTTTCTTTATGGTTAAATGTTTATTAGCGCTAAAAAAATTTTCATGCAGGATTTTCTTAGTAGGCTATTTTTTATTTGCTAAGTCATAAATAACTTGAATTATTCCTGTGATCGTAAGCCACTTTTAAAAGCAAGCTGATTTGATGCTAAGATCCTCTACCTGATGCACAAGTTCATGGGCAACCACAGCGGCCACCCTCTGTTGGTTTGATGAGGCTGATTCCTCAGGGTCGTACAGCAGGTTTGTTTCTCTGTAAGTGATGAGTCCCCAGTTCTCCATAGCACCAGTGCCAAAATCTGGAATAGCGATTTGATCTATGGAAAAAGAAAGAGTCCAGTGAGAAATGCATTCTTTCCATTTGTTCATAGCTTTGCTTACCAAATTAAGTTCTTAAGATGAATGTTTTTTAAAAGGCTAAAAATAATTTCTTAGAATGAAAAACAGTAATCATTTGTGCAAACATTTCAATCCTAATGAACTCAAAATTTTCCATGGAGCTCTTCCTGTTGGCTCCAGATATCAATGTGTCTTTTTTTTTTTAAAGAAGGACACTAATGGCAATTTTCAAGGCCTCCATAATTTTATGTATTTGTTCCTCTCTGTCCTTCATTTTTATTAGTTTTTCCTTCTTTTTTTCCCCCGCACGATTTTGACTTGGGTAATAAAGAACATCTGTTTTGGGAATAAGCTGTAAGGAAAAAGAGAATGAAGTTTTCAAATGAAGTACAAACTTCTAAGTGCACAGAAATAGATTTCTATCCCAGGAGACAGAATATTAAGGAATATGAAACTTCATTTTTTTCCCTTAATTCTACGCAGTTTGAGGTCAACTTGATTCCCTACCAATCTAATAGCTTACCATCCACTTACACGTATCAAATAAGTTGGAGAAACATGGAATTGACTATATTCTCTCTAAAGTTCCTTCCAGGTCTAAAGGAGTTTCTATTCTTTATTTTTGCTGGGGCCTATAATATTAGACATAATATCTGACAGGAGGAGGCGGGACTGATCAGTTCTATGTTAAGTCCTAAAACAGAAAATGCTCAGTTGGTTAGTGGAAAAAATACAGCTTCCCCAGTTAATGAACTATAATCAGAATGTAATTTCTTTATTATTACATATAACTTAAATGAGGTAAAGAAATGAAAATAAATTGAAGTTTCACCTAACATAAAAAAAGGCACTTTCTTTCTGGTTATAATAAAGATTCTTCAAGCTTTTTATAAAAGAATGAAAAGGGATATATCTTAAATAGAGGTCAAGATTACAGGCCGGCCCATGGCTCACTCGGGAGAGTGTGGTGCTGATAACACCAAGGCCACGGGTTCGGATCCCATATAGGGATGGCCGGTTCGCTCACTGGCTGAGCGTGGTGCTGACAACACCAAGTCAAGGGTTGAGATCCCCTTACCCATCATCTTTAAAAAAAAAAAAAAAAGATTACAATAGTAGTTACCTTTTCATGTTACCTTCACTTTCAGATTTGGTTATTTTGTCACTATTATCACTTAAAAAGTGAAGAAGTATATCCCCTAAGGGCTGAGCTTTTTTTTTTTTTTCTTTTTGGCAGCTGGCTGGCATGGGGATCTGAACCCTTGACCTTTGCCTATATTTTTCATAATGTTGAGGAGTGTAACTTGCACCTAATCCTTGAACAAAAGGGATTTTTTGTAACCTCATTTCTCTGGTGGGTATTGGCATTATAATTAACTAACTACAGCACATTTAACTTTTTGGAGTAAAATAAATGCAGAAGTCATTTCGAAGGCGTCTAAGACAGAGTTAATTCTGAAAGGGTTGAAAATGCCCAGAAAAGAGCATGAAGAAGGAGCAGGGGAGAGGGAGGAAGAAAGACAGGAGGAGAAGAGAGAGATAAATTTGTGGGATTTCCACTTTCCAGGTTATTCTGGGTGGCACAAGTGAGATAAAGGGGAAAAGATCTTTAAATTTATGTACTTCATATCTTATTAAATGTTATTCTGATTTTGATGAAAAGTTGCTTCTCTTTCTGTCTCCTCTAATACCTGTTGAGCAATCAAAAAATGAAACTGCTTCCATTGAAGAGAAAACGTGTCACCTACAAACTTGCTAAGAGCCACAGCCATTCCCATGTAGAGAGCTTGGCATTCCAGTTGTTTGCATTGATAATTTATGAAAGTAAGGGCAGAAAGAGGAAGAGGGAAGCCAATTGTTGGTTGTTTTGTTTTCTTACTGCCTTCATTTCATCCCTACAAACATCTATATGGGTATTACATTTAAAGTCTTTGCTAATACCACTCAAGCTTATTAATAAAGCATTTCTGCCATTGACAGTAGTATCATATCCACATCATTTTTTTAAAGTTTATTTATTTATTAATATTATTACTTTTTACATTCTAAAATGTTGCTGTGGAGCAGTTGTGGGGAGGGGAGAGAGGAAAGGGGAAATGAAATAGGGTCGGAGAGGGAGGAAGAAGGGTGTGGTTGAGGCCTGTGGCATCCCCCTCATTCCTGCAGGGGAGACCAGGGGGCTTCCAGTGGTGGCTCGATCATTGCTGGGCTGGATGCAGATGTTGGTGGGGTCTGCAACATTTTGATTATAGCCCTACTTTTGTTTTAAAAAGAAAACATGCCTCCCCCCAACGCCCACCTTAGAAAAAATTATTTCTGGAGGAAGCACCAGTGTTTCATTTTACCTGCTTGGAGAATCAAGAATTAGTCTTCTACAGCAATGGAAAGATTGGAAGCCCACGGGACTCCTACAACATCATTTTTTTTCCTATTATTTTCCAACTCATTGAAGATAGGGAGGCAGTATAAGCTACTGGGATGGGTACTGATTTTGAAATCAACTGATCCAGGTTACTGTTTCGGGCTCCATCATTATCAAGCTCTGCAGTTGTGTGCACATACTTTCATTTTTATTTGGAAATAAAAGACTATGCATTTATCAGATAAGAACACAGTATAGACATAATTCTTGGAGTAATCAAGAATGGATCTTGTAGCATCTAGTAAGCATTAGGCACATATTGTAGGCATATAATAAAAAGACTTATGGATGGCCATTAACTAATGGTGATACAATTGGATGAAATGAGTTAACTTGGGTGAAAACAAAGGCAATATTAAAAATAAGAAAATAAAAAATGATTCTCACCTAATTTAGGAAGAGAATAATTCATAGCAAAGTATTCTTCATAGTAATCAAACACAGTTTTAGTTATGTTTGCAGCATATTCAGCTGTGTGCTTTTGCTCTGGCTGGACATAAATAGTGAGCTATTAAACAAAACACAAAAAATTCAGTGAAAATTTTTCTTCATCTGATAAAACACAAAATCTACAATACATGATATACAGCTAAGGAAGGTGGGCTTTGGAGCCAGATAAGTCTAATGTGAATCCTAGTTCTGCCTCATTCTAGCTGTGTGTTCTTAGATAAATCATGTCACATTCTGAGACTCATGTAAAAGAACAATAAAACTGCATAACTCACTGAGTGACTTTAATGACTAGGAATAATGTAAGACACAATGGTTGCACAATGTCTCTGACATTAAAAAATGGCATTAGTTTTTTCTATTTAGAACATATATTGTCTTCTTAATATCTATGAATCTATGTATCAATCCATTCATCCATCCACCCACCTTTCTCTCTCTCTCCGTCTCTCTCCCTGCCTCTCTCCTCCCTCTCTCTTTCTCTTTCTTTCTCTCTCACTGTGAGTGTGTGTGTGTGTGTGTGTGAGTGTGTGTGTGTGTGTGTGTGTGTGTAGTCTGTCTTTGAAGAAATGAATTCATGGGAATTTTTTCTCATCAAAAGAGCACTTGAATACATGGTTTCCACTTGTGCTATTCTATCCAGTTATTCCAATTACCCTTCTGATATTTCAACTATCCTACTCCCAGAGCCCAAACTATAATGACCCAAACTTTTCCCGAGATGGAGTCATCTTGGTAAGATACATCAATTTTCTAAGTCACTAGGGTATTATTTTGTGCTCCCATGACACAGTTTATAACTCAAACCAAGTATAAACATTTTCCTTAATTCTAAGCATGTATGGCTTATAAAAAATTATCAAGAATCCTCTTAAACATAATGTTGTGCAAACAGATGGGTGTTTAGGCACTTCTTAGTATGTGAAAGAGGAAAAGGTGTTTCAGACAACTAGTGTCTGCTAAATGTTTGTGAGAAATTGAAATGAAATATACCTGTTCGACCTAAGAGTTGATTTAAAACCCTCAAGTAAAGCATCAGATGCAGTTAATTAGTAAGGTCAAGACCATTTACCTACCTGGATCAAGTGACTCAAGGTTGAAAAAAAAAAAACAGAAAAAGGAAAACAAATGATGTCTACCCTCTTCCTTTATTATCCCAACACATTGCTAGTTTTGGTATTCATTTAGGCACACATCTTGAGCTGTCTTTTCTTAGAAATGAATAACAGTAGAAAGATCCAATACTTTAAAGGATAAATTCTGAAAGAGCATCCTTTACATGACCAGTGCTGGCTCACTGTTCTCACATGCACTGGTAAGTGACATTCCTGCATTATTTGCATAAAGATGTGTTCACCTTCACCTTCAAAGACAACGTGACTCACTCAATTATCTCAGCATTCTTTGAGGGGGTTATTTTGTGGTTTTATTCTTTTCTTTTTTTTTTAATTTGCCAGAAATGATGGTGTATTTCCTCTGTTCTCTTTGTGAACAATGATGTGCATTTTCCAAGAAGTTAAGGGAAACTAAGGATTCAGTTGGTGGCCACAGAACAGAGCACAGGCAAGTGACCATATGAAATCAAAACCATCATGCTCACCCAGGATTGCCATGTCATATACTGAGAGTCTCAAAGTTGTTCATCTGTGAACTAGTGTATCAAAACTCCCTTGTCGGATGGGTCCAAGATGGCGACGGGTCTGGAGCAGCCGTGCCAGGAGACAGCGCGATCCTGAGAGCTGTGCGCTGTGATGCCAGAGTATTAATTGCATTTCCAAGAGCAACAAAAGGCGAATAATTCTTTCAACAACGATCCTGCATCGACAAACAAGCGGCAGCAGGTTTGAGGTTTTGGGGCTGACACAGAGGAGGACTCCTGAGAGCACCCAAGCCCGGCTGCGGGAACGGGCGAGCAGCCCAGTCAACAAAGGCCAGGAAAGCCAGCGGAACCGGCACAGAAATGGAGTGAGGCGCGCCGGACGGGCCCAACGCTGCAAGCTCTGTGAGTCACCCCCCAGCCCAGCCCCACTTGCGGGGCGAAGCCTGGCTGATCCCCGCCCGCCTGGCTCCCGCCTACCACACAAGGCTAGGTGCCCACAGCAGAGCTGCCTCCATTTTCTCGGGTGGGGGCGGAGACGGACGGCTTAGTGAGGGCAGGCCAGCCATTCCGGTTGGCTCGGCTCCGCACTGAGACGTGCCATTTGCTTACCTCGACGCAGGGCACCCCGGGGCCTGTGGACCG